CTATTGCTGGGGAGGTCCACCACTGAAGAGATCTTAGGAGCTGGTGCCCAGTCTCTGAAACGGGAGTAAAAACCATTGCAGGTTTCTGGAGTGTAGTCTGGCCCATGGCACTATCGCCATGCAGGACACCATCTTCCCTAACAATTGGGGAAGGATGGCCAGTGTAACTACATGCTCCCTTTGGACCCAGTGGACCAGGGTTCGGATACTGTCCTGGCGTTCCCGTGATAGATCTTGCAAAGTCTTGTGTCTATGATCGCGCCCAGATGAAGAAGGTGAGTTGAGGGAGCTGTCTGGCTCTTTTGGAAATTCACCGAGAACCCGTGGTCTTGGAGAGTCCTGATGGACAAGGACAGGTCCGACTGTGCTGCCTGAATTGAGGGGGACTGGATGAAGATGTCGTCCAGGTAACATTGGATACGTACCGGGACTACCCTCAGATGAGCAGCCAGTGCTGCCAAGATCTTTGTAAATACTCTTGGAGCTGACGAGAGACCGAACGGTAGGGCTCTGTATTGATAATGGTGGTTTGTGTAACAGAACCTGAGGACTTCCGATGGCCGGGAAGGATGGGGATATGTAGGTATGCTTCCATGAGGTCGACAGACATCAGGAAGTCATCCCTTCTGATGCTGGCCATATTAGACTGGAGCGTTTGCATTTTGAAATTTTTGTAGGCAAGATGAGAGTTCAATCCCTTTAGATTGAGTATTGCCCTCCATCCTCCCGAGGCCTTTGGAATGACGAAGAGAATGGAGTAGAACCCAATTCCCCGTTGCCCAGCCAGTATTGGTTCTATGGCCCTTATCTCGAATAGGTGTAGAATGGCCTCGTTCATGAGGCTCGTCTTGACTGGATTGTTTGACGTTGAACAAGAAATGAAACATTCTGGAGGATGGGATACAAATTCCAGGGACAGGCCGTACCTGATGGTGTTGAGCACCCAGGTGTCTGTGGTGGTGGTCTCCCATTTGTGAACAAAGAGAGTTAATCTGCCACCTATGGGGGAGGCCTCCCTGAAGTCACTTGGTTCTTCTGAAGGGATGGCCTCCCGTGCCCTGAAAGGGCTGCTTGGCCTGGAATTGCTGTCTGGGCTTGGTAGTAGAACGTTCAGATTGGTGATCAGCTCTGGGAGGGAAGGAGCAGGGAGGCTGAGCCAACTCTGATCCTGACCCTGATCGAAAAGGCTGCCTGTGGGTATACGGGTTACGCCATCTGTTTGCCCATCTGGTAAGAGGACATCACCTTACGTTTGTCTTTGTTCTCCACTAGGTATGGGTTGAAGGCCTCTCCGAATAGGTGACCACCACGGTAAGGAGCAGCTGCTAAATGCCACTTTGATTTTGCGTCCGCCTGCCATTGTTTGAGCCACAGAAGCCTGCGGGCTGTAACGTTTGAGGCTATGGCTCTGGATGAGAATCTGGCGGCATGTAGTGACAAGTCTGCCATGTATTCTGATGCAGCCACTAACTTACCCAAGTTCTGGTGTGCGTGTACCTCCTCCGGAGGAATCATGGCTTGAAGCTCGCGAAGCCAGATGAGAAGTTCTGGCAAAGAAGGAGGTGGATGTAGCTGCTCTTACCGCCCATGCTGAGGCCTGGTGGGTCCTGCAGAAAGAGAGCTCAGATTTTCTGTCCTCCGCCTTCAAGGTTTCAGCCAAGTCCCCTGACACCGTGGAAGAGGAAAAGAGTGGTGTTAGAGGTTCATCAATAACCGGGACCTCCAGCAGTTCAGATAAGGCGGGGGCGACATTGAATAGCCTCTTATCTGTTCCCCCTGGTGTGGGGAGGGTGCCAGGTGTTCCCCATTGCTTTTGAATAGTATTAAGAAAGAAAGGAGGACGGGATATGCCTTTGTGTAACAACAGGCTCGGAGAACAGCGGATTTGTGTCTTGGCTGGTGGATGACCTGGTTGAGGCTCCTGATCAGGACCAATCTTGGCAGAGGTACTTGCCTTGTGGAGCAGCGATTTGAATAACGCTGGGTCAAATAGGCCTACAAAGGGGGGAGGGTCCGGAAAAGATTCCTCATCCTCCAATAATTGTATGCCCCTTGGCCCGTACTCTTTGGAGCATGACTGTCTGTCTTGAGAGGATCTGTAGGAAGAAATAGAACCCGGATATTCTGGGGCTCCAGTCTGGGAGTAAGATAGAGTCATTGATGCCACAGATTCGGGCCTGGGCCTCTGGTGGAATGAGGCCATACCCTGGGCAAACGTCTGGGCGATTAGTGCCTGTAATTGTTCTGGCCACACTTCTTGAGGTTCTGTGGGTCAAAGCCCAGCTGCTGTGGGCGTGAATGTAGCCTCTGGACCCGACTGAGCCCTGGGTGAGGCACCCATCAAGAGGGTGGTCCCTGGCTGAGGGGAACCATCTCCTCCTGTCCGGCTTCCCCTTCCGGAGACCAGGCCCGTTGGACCATTGAATTGGAGGGGGTGAGTTGTGGCCTAAAAATTGAATCCTCAGCTGGAACTGGGGAGAAGTGGCCTGTTCCACTCGTGCTCAATTTCTGAGCTTTGGAAAACTGCTTTTCCAAGGCCTGGTGTCTCCTGCTGGCCTCCTTCTCAGCCGCCTTAGAGGGCCTCTTGCCTGAAATGGCTTTGGCCTTGAGTTTTCCTGCAGCCTTCAGCTTGGAGGACTTGTTCTTCTTTCTGATGGGAGTGCCCGGAGCACTATGCACGGTCTGAAGTGTCACGTTGTCTGCCATCACAATGGAGATATCTCAGTGTTCTGAGAGGGATCTCAAAGTAGAGGAGCAGAATACTGATTTATGACTGTGTGTCACCACGTTGGAACCAGCAAGTACTCTATGTAATGGTGGCTGCAGGACCAACTTAATGGACTCTCGCATACCTACAATGCTCCTGATGGCTGCAATACCGGTTAATGCACCTTCAACGCACTGGTAAAGTTTACTGTGGTGGCAAAACCAACAGGTGGTGACAGCCAGCACACACATAACTCACTTAGTGGCGGCAAAATCACCTCAGTGATAACGGCCAGCGCGTTAGGCCTAGTTGGTGGTGGCAATGCCAAGAGGCGCGGCCAGCACACTTTGTGTTGTGAGAAATAGAGAAGCACTTTGTTGAGGCCTGGGACTGTAAGTGCTATCTCCTGTGAATGACCATCCACTGTGAAAAACTTGGACTTGCGCTTTCTTTGTCCAGAAGTTGAGGATCTTGAGTGTCCTTGTATGTATGAGAGCCTGATCTCAATAGGCTGTGAGTACTGCGCAGCCTGAGGGTGTTAACACAGAAAAGGCCTCAGATCCCAATTCCCTATGTAGGTGATGGGATGAGTCCTGCGGACAGTTGCAGGAGAAGAGATAGAAGGACCCTCCCCTCCCCTTGTTGTGGGGTCTGTGCCCTTGGGCGACCCTGTGACAAGCTCCTGTCTAAATTGGGATTTGATCCGGACCGTTTCTCTCCCTGTGGATTCCAATCAACATTCATGGCGCCTAAAATGGTGGCCGCTGTATAAATCGCCTGGGGAGAGGGAGCGCCGATCAGGGGAACCAGGCAGTAATGAGGGTCCCCTTAAGCCAGTTAGTTCCTGGTGAGGGCAGCAATTTGGTTCGCTGGGTGTTCAAAACAGTAATTGAGCCAGTAGAAGTATTTTCTGGGGAAACAGCTCCTCACATGGCTTTTAAAATGGCAGCCACGATGAGCACGCCGAAGAATGGGGCAGTTGCCAGGGGCTTTTCTGAGCCCGCAGTCCAGTCATCAGGCCGACAAACCGGCTGCGCGCTGCACTGGTCCCAGCAATTAGACTAAAGGGAGGATCTGAATTTAGCTTGTTTTGCCAATTTAGGGTCTTAAAAGCAACTGAAGCCAAATGGGAGAAGGGGAAAGAAAAACCGCTCAGCGGTTTGTCGCAGTGCTGATCCCAGCACTGCAATGAAATAGAAGATCCACGAATGGGTAAGAACCATACAACCTGAAATAATGTAGAATAAGCCTGAAAAACTGAACCAAAATCTCACGTCCTTCTGGGAATGAGACTAAGTCGGGATGGGTGGTACTCTAGCCCAGGAGAAGCGTGGCAAGTTTGACAGACTTAGTCTAATTGGGCAGGAAGACAGAGTAAACCCATTCGTGGATTCTCCATCTTCATGCTGGAGAATGAAGGGATTTTATTATGCTTAAGCTTGATATTAGTAGTGATATTTTGTAATCATTTTATATATAATTTTGTTCATTTGCAAGCAACTTTGTAGGGGCCTTATATTGGGAAATTATTTACATAAAAGCAAATGTCTCATGCTCTATATACAGGTGATTGCTTACATGAAAAGAGCACGGTAAGGGGAGGGGGAAAAGGAGTTACGGATGGAGCCTGGGTTGCTGTGTATGAGTCATCATCTTGGAATTGTTTTTTTGTGCTATTACACCTGGTACAAAGACCTGATCTTTTTGTTCTTGAAAGGTATAAAAGGTGGAAGACATCTTTCCTGGTTGTTGCCTTCATTTCTCTACCAGCCACGAAGAGGAATAAGGTCATCCAACTCTGTTTTGATCAAAATAAAAGTTGTTTGCTTGCTGAAACCTTGGCTCAGGGATTTCTTTTGGCTCTTTAAAATTCCTGAGTAACACTGGGACAATTGTGAGGCTAAGTGGAAAACGTTACACTATGGATGTAATATTGTGTACCTCGAGTTTTCATATTGCTGGAATTAATATTGGCTAGGTATCCATAATATCTAGGTAGATGGCATTTTCTAGAAATCCTGTATTTCAAAGAGCAAAGCAGGGTCAGTGTAGGCTTGTGACTGGATGGAAAACAACCAAGAAATTTCACAGCGGTAGGTTGCTGATAGAAGATAATGCCAAACAATTTCTATATTTCTGCCAAGAATATTACATTGTTTTGTCCATGAATTTACCAAGAGAGACATTTGATCAAGGCTTATATGTAGGCTAAATACATTTTAAGGCAAAAGTTTCTATATAAAAATTAAAGAACTTCTGAGTGCATGAACACCAAGTTAGAGGAGAGTGAAAGTTATGGTTTAAAATAACTTTATTGCAGTTTTGTATAGAATATGCTGTAAATTGATACATTCGATATGTAATAATCTACAATAAAAATGAATGTTATGTCATTGAAAAAAACAATTTTGGACAAGTTATGGTGGACCAAAATAACTGCATTGGTGGGCAATATGTTTAACTTTTGTTCATCACACTATTTGTGTGTAACAAATAGCCTTTATATACCATAAGAATTATAGGTTTTGGAATATCAGTGTTTTAAATAAATACCATAGAAAAATATGAAATCTAAAAATGTAATTCAGGCTATGTTAACACAACTCTTTTGAAATAAGTACGCAGATAAAAATGGTTTCACATTTAGTTAAGTAAAAATAAGTAAACCAATTTATTTTATGTAAGCTTTATTTCAAAAAACTATACTAATAAATATTGTTCTAAAACAACAATAGTCAATTAGATCAGGAATTATAGAATTAAGCACTAAAATAGGTAACTATGATTAAAAATTAAGGATAAGCTTAAGTATAATTACTACAATCAAAACTAACACAGATGTATACAAGTTTACATTTATTGAGATTACAGTATTCTACAGAAAAATGCTGAAGCCCCTTAAAACTACACTAAATTTAGCTGCAGTTTTCATGAAATGCATTAAAAATGCATTTCCATTTATCAATTTCTTTCCACCCCAAATAACATATGCAGTAAACAAAATTTCAGTGAAGTATCTTAGTCTGAAGTAAAAACATTTAAACACGTATCTTCACATTTTACTATCACTTCTGCCCATTTTGAGCTTCCAAGTTTATAAAATCAAATATACAATCTCAAATGAACATAATGAAGTCCACATTAAAAAAATAAATCCTACAAGTAGTTCCAAAAAAATCTAAAGATACTACTTATGGCACAGTGATCTCCTGATTTTGAAAGAAGTTGATGCCCATTTACTGTCCTATTTTATTCCTTTTTCAGTTTCAAGATGAGGAAGGATGAAGATATCTTTATAATTAAAAATGGGAGACGCAGTTGTATGTGCCACAGAAAGAAAAACTCAATCTGTTGTTTTCCGTGGACTCTCAGGCGTAAGGAATTTGGAGAATGGATTTCCTTGGTTGATTTCCATGGATTGATAGACGAAAGCCAAGAAGATTGTAACAATGAAAAAGAGCAAAAATTTTATCCACAAAGGAATGGAGTGTTTTTTAGTTGTTTTTTCTTTTTGGACTTCTGCCGAGGCAACATATTTAGGAATATATTTTGATGAATATGTTTCTTCCAGCCGGTAATCACTGAACTCTATAGGTCGCCCAGCAGCGCCTTTGATTGGTCTGCGGCAGCTTGCACTATAAATTAAGTAATATGTTTAAGATTAACATAAAAATGTCCTAGAATACCTCATATATTTCAAAAGTTCTAATGTGTATGGGAAAAATTTAGACTCAATATAGTAAAGTAGAAAGGCTATGCAATACTTGGATATATTTTGAAATGCATAACAATGTGAGTATAGTACCTGTCAGTGACTCATTAAAATTACTGCATCTTTTTTCAAGATAGCATGGCAAAGGAGCTTCCTGCAGCAGTCACATAGTTCTGGAATCAGATAGATGAGTTAATGTGTAACTGCTAAGTGTTGCTCTGCCATCAATTTGAATCCCAAGAATAAAACTAATTTATCCGTGTTTGTGATCTTCTCAAAAATATCTCATTGACAATTATTTGATAATTTGGTATGGGACAATTGCTATTAATCAAGTTTGTCAGCCACAAGGAACCAGAACAACACCATGACCTGATTAAGATTACTTCTTTATTATTGCATGTGTACTTATAAGAATCTTGCTATATGGATTAGATTCTCTTGGGAATGGTCTAATAAGGGTTCAGGGATTCTCAGGGAGATAAGATCTGCACTGCTTCCTGTTATGCAAGGACTCTTAAGTCCTCTTTTCATACCTCCGTCCACTCTAGATGGAGATTCCACCACAAGTTGCACCTTAAATATTAGAACATGTATTTTTGCAGAATTTAAATGTGAATCTGGTTATTCATTAAATTTATATGCCACCCATCTTACAATTAAACAAGTTAATAAAAATACTCAATAAACCAGAGTTGTCTTTTTTTTATATTGGGGTAGGCAATTCAAGGGCCAGGTATAGCCATTTAAAGGTTAAACTGCATTTACTTGTGCCATTCTAATTTTATTGCCGATTCTCAGCAAATTGGGGAAGGGGGGCAGGCAGCTGAAGCCCAACGAAGGGACCTTGCAATAGTGCTTACTAAAGAAATCACAGTAGTAATTATCCAAAAGGGGTCTGGTGTCAGGTAATATCAACTTGCAAGTCAAGCTAGGCCACAGTGGCTTCTTGGGTGGGGGACTGTGAGGAAACTCTCCCAGCAGTTATCTCATTAGGCACAGAGTTCTTGTTAGTCCAAGCTAGCAGCACGCTGGCTCTAAAAGCTTCAAAAAAGGACACTTGTATGTTTTGATAATTCCCTGCTAAATTTGATACAGTTAAGTATATCATAATTGGTGTTGCTGAGAAAAAGAAAGGCTAAGCTGAGTGTAGCTAGACTTGGGGAAGGAAAAAAAAGTTAATTATGTATATAATTATATCACCCCCAAAGCGTTTGTTTTTTATTATCAAAAACAAACTACCACATATATGAACTAGCTTGCCCATTTCTTTATATGGAAGTGACAGTTGAGTATGGCTAAAGAAACACTGAAGATAAGGAATTTTAAAAATAAACATCAATGTATGAAACAGAACAAGAAAAAATAAAAAGGGTACAGTAATTGGTGTGAACTAATTTTAAATGTGTTATTTTTCATATTTCCTGCTTTTAATTTTATTTTATTGCTTCTGACTCCTTTTCTGCATTCTGCATAATATGGCTAAAGGGAATTATTTCTTGGATATGTATGTACTGACATGTTCCTATTTATGTAACTCCAAATTAACAGAGGTAGTCTCAGATGCAGGAAACAAGGCTGGCTGATTGGGCATGGATAAAAAGAGCAACAGCAGCACTGTTCAAAGAAAAAAGTCAGTTATAAGAATATGACTAGGGATATGCAAAATGTTCTATGCTCGGATTAGTTGATTTTTGACATCTCAGGTACAAACCAAAATATGAGTTGTGGGAAAGAGGAAGTAAACAGGAAATCCTGACATTAGCTAAAGGGATATAATAAAGGAGTTTTTGAGAAGCTTGGGGGAATTAGCTGATCGGATCTGCTGTGCTTGGCACTAAGACTTGTAGCTGAAAGAATAAGAAAATGAAGGTGCAAGGGAGATCAGTGAGCAGGGCACTGGAGAAGAGATGTGCATCAGGCTTACTGTACTTATTCTATAAAGCTCCTACACTTTTGTTCTAGTCAAAACTTGGAGCAATCAAAATTATTCTAGCTTTGGCAGAATTTATGAAATATAGTCTGTTTTATATTCAAACAAAACATATTTTCTCCTTCATATAAAGAATTTCAGAGGTATTGTAAGAAAAGCCTTCCTGGTCAAACAGCCAATACATTCTATATCATAGTTGCTAACCAGAAGTTTTTGAGAACCAGGCAATCATGAACATGAAGGAAATAATCCTGTTGTAGAATATTATTTTCTTATTTTCTTCTTTGCAAATAAAACGTTCCAATATGAAAAACCTTATCTTTATTTTAGCTTTATAGTCCTCTTCTATTTGTTCTCCAAAAGCTACTGATATTAAAGATATGCTGCCTTTCAGTAATTTATTTATTAACATTTATTTGGCCACCCATCTCACAAAAGTGACTTTATGCAATGTACGACAATATCTAAAAACAATCATTTAAATTTTTTTTTTAAAAAAAGTAAGGTACAAAAATGAGCATTAACCACAATAGCAGGACCATTTTAGGATTTCACCAGTCTCCTGCGATGCCCAGCCCTGACGACATAGCCAGATCTTGAGACAACTCTGCAACATCAACATTACTGTTAAAATTAACATTAATAGCATGTTTTGTACATGTGCGCACCTGTCCTCTGCAGTATTAATTTATAGTGGGCAGTTAAAAGTCAGATTTCGGGTTAGGGTTAAAAGAGCCCAATATACATATCTGACAATTTGCTATCCTTTTTATTGGATTCTTTTATAGGGGTTCTTTATATATTTATGTAAATATATAGTTATTAGTAGTCTAGAATTATATATTTAAGAAGGGCATCCATATACATTTTCCAAATAAACATTTTGATATTTAAAATGAATCTTGGTAACCTTGGTTTTGGAAACTGAAAGTACCACACTCATTTTGCTTCTTCAGTTGTTTTTTTAACCATATAAAGAAATTTTAAGAGAGTCTGTATACAGAACACTGAAAAATCAAGCTTTTTAAGATACCACTCAAAAGCAGGAAACTTGCAAACTAGCACAATATTGTGTAACACTTATTTTCAAGACTTGATAAGACTATGTAATACAAAATATTGTCTTGTCAAGTCCAATGTCCTAGGTCTAGTCCAAAAAAGGCCAAAATCTGAAAATTCATGCATCCCAAGAAACAAAACAAAACAAAAAATAGCTATAGGTACCTAATTCCTGTAGGTGTTGATGCTTCATATGGAAACATTTCTTTAAGAATATCTCTTTCTAATCTTGTAACCTCTGTAGACATTTTCTCAATGACCTGTAGTTAGAAAATGGAAAAATGATAATCTTATCAAATTTCATTAGAAGCTGTACTAAAAAAAATAAGGGAGAGAGGCAGAGTGTAGCCATATTCCGGTGTCATTTCGAATAGTACACCCATAAAAATTTAAGAAGACTCCTTCATGGGGTTTAGCTGTTGATCAAAATTTAGTTACATTTATCTATCTAGTAATTTATTATAAATGCAGATGTCTTCAGTAATATCCTTTGTTCCTTCAAGATGCAGAATAATGCTATTTTATAAAGATTAATGTAATAAAAACCTAAGAAAGATATTTTCACCACTTCTAATTGAATGGATCAGATACTAGTGATAGGGATGATGAATAGTTTCATTTTTATTCTTCCTCTGAAAAAATGTAATTACTGAAAGAACCATTTTAAGCACACCATGCAATAGTTTTGCACTGGTATATTCAATTATTTTAATAGCACACATGGCAGAGATAAATTTCCTTAAAAAATAGAACTGAATTACTTTAGATTTTGCTAGGTATTCTAGGTATTAGATCTGGTAACAGATTATTAAAGCTTAGATATTCCAAATCAGTATATATCCAATACATGCCAAAAAAAAAGAAAAAGTCCTGAGAAGGAATCTGAAGGTAGAAAAGCCCTAAAATATATCTATTACCATAGTTTTAATTAAAGATAAGTTCACCCTCCTCCCCTTTCTATCCACCAATCTATATTTAATTCATTTACTTCAGCTGTCATCAATGGTTTCTTTGGTGTTCTTCTTGGCAATTCTGAGAAGTCACTGATTGACAGTATAGGATCAGCATGCTTGGTATTTCCAGGTACCCTATTGCCAACCTGCTGAAATTCAAATTGTTCAGACTCAGAATTAACAGAGGAAATTACAACAAAAATCTTAACCAAGCCAAGCAGCTTACACATGAGATACCAACTATCCTAAATGGGAATATAGGGATTTTTTAAAAAAAAAATAAATGAGAAGTTGCTTTTACTATTTATATTACCCCGTAACATATACGTAAAAACAAATTTTGACACACAGGGAAAAAAACTTTCAGAAGATCCACAGTAACTGAATATTGTTCCTCCTGCCATTTAGTTGCTCTTGGTTTGCATTAGACTGATGAACAACAGCCCAATGTTTTATTTAAAAAACTTTTTTCCCAAGAAATAAAGGTTTATTCAAAATTCTTCCATGAGAAGAAAATGAAGAATACCACCTAATGAAAATTCAATATATTTACTAGAGTCTCGTTGCTTGAAGCCACTACAGCTATGGGAGTATTCTCTGATATTACTGGATCATGTACAGGAAATGGAACTGTAGTTTCAACCTGTTTGTTTAAAAACAAAAACATAACAAAATAAGTGTATAGCTGTTGCTAGGGCTCTGAGAATGTCAAAAATTAAGGTCTAAATTAAAAAGTAGCCTTCCGTCACCCTTTTCCTTGGTGTTCTTCTTGATACTCTCGCAGATTCCCTAGACACTGCCTGAAGAAGTCCACTTTTTGAAGATCCACTTCTCCAGAATGTCTCAGTAATGCCATCCTTGGATATTTAAGCATCAAACATATTAGCAAACATATGAATGCTCTATCTTGAAATCAGATTATCCCACCTAATACGGTAGCATTTTGCATGAAAACTGTGCATAATATGTATTATTCCTATGTTCTATGTTAGGTAGAAAAGCATATTACAGAGAAACAATGAACACAGGATAGAAATTAATGACATACCATTAACAATAAGTATGTACTTTGATGTGAAAGACATTTTAGATCAGGGATGTCAAACTCACGTCACGTGTCGCGATGTATCGCAACTTTTTTGCCATTGCCACAATGGGGTGGGCACGGTTTTGCTGTGATACATCTGGCCCGTGGGCCGGCAGTTTGACACCCGTTTTAGATTATTAAAATGTAGGGCATCTAAATATCTGAGCTCTTTTTTCTCTTTTATTACATACATTAGCTGATACTTGCACTGGTACTTATTTTTCAATTTCAGATAAAGGGATTCTGATCTTGTGACACTAATATATATGGCCTTACTAATATAAGTTCTTTAAATGGCTCTCTGAAGCAAGCCATACTAGATTTTAAATCTGTTACTAAATTTAAAATATTCAACATCTTATCCATATTGTACTTAGACTTAGAAGTTTAAATTTCACTGCTAATGACTGCAAAGTTGAATGGATTGCAGCTTTCATTCTATGGAAATTATATATCAGTGTATATATAGATTACAAAAGGAGGGAATAACCTTGCAAGCATTAAATCTGTCTGATAGCTTAATAAGATTTGCTAGTCAGAAAGAGATTCTAGGGCATAGTACAATGGCCAATCAAATTATAGCTATTATACAGATGAGACATTAAACCCTGAATTAATAGATTAGATGTGGCCATCTACCAAAAGACTTCAAAAATTACTATCTTAAGTCTACGTTCATGTTAAGGTGAACAAGAAATAGTCTTTTGTCTGGATTTAATAATAAAAAACTGCAGAGACATTGGGAGGTTTTCTGAATATGATTGATCCATGTGTTATATTTTATACAAGCTAAATTTAAATTTTAAAAATTAGTGCCACATATTTGGTTTTGAACTATATTTTTCAATTTTGAATATTTAGAAAATAAAATTTTCTATTCATAGAAGTATAACTTATTTAAAAATGAGGTATATTTTCTTCTTCTACTGAATTTTTAATTACAGCAGTCCTCACTTTTTTAAATTACCATTTGAGGTTACAACGGTATAAAAAAACCCTTCCAACTTTATGATCAATCCTCACTTTTACAACTATTGTAGCATCCTGCAGTGATTGGCATTTTGTGTTTCAGAATTGGCTTCCAATAAGCAAAATTAATGGAGAATGTGGAAGTTAAATCACAACTATTATCTCCTTCTCCCATTAAGATAATGAAGGAGAGGGAGGGTGAGGTGAATGGAGTTTTTGAAGTTATTTTTTTATCTCCTCGGATGTTTTCCTCAGATAAACATATCTATATGAAACATTTCAGAAGGCTTGATTTGCTTCATCTCTTTACCTGGCATTCAGGTTGGCAGCAGCATTGCATTATGAACTTCTTTGCAATCTTATTAAACTGCTGCTATATTATTGTTTTCCAATTAAAACAGCCCTTCTTGCTCTTAACAGCATGTCCACATTAGATAGATTTTATTAAATGAAGTGGCACTGAATAAAATTAACTAGTTTAGATCACAAATACTGTCCTTATTTAGAACAAACTTTGGTGCCTGTAGGTTTCTGCAAAAATATATTATAATTAGGAAGAAAAGTTATTTAAATACGTCGACTCAGACTACTGTATATAGCAGAAAATCAGCATGAAAGAAATAGGTAGGGCAAAAACTTATTACAAATTTCCCCATCCTCTCCTTTATCACATCAAAATGCTAGCTAGCAATATCGCACTCTGCCATAAGTTCTTTATATGCCAACCATTTTTGCTAAAGGACCAGATGTATGCTTATTTTTGCAGTAAATATTAACTACACCAGAAATGTAAGGTTGTTTTAAAATGCCATTTTGAAATATATATTTTAAAAGAATCTTTTGAAGAAAATTATTGTGATACCTGGTTATTTTCAGCAATTCTTCTTTGTTTAAGTGATAATGAAGTTTTTGTTTTACTCTTCAGTGGTTCCTGCTTGTCAAGACTGAACTCTGTTTTAGGATCTGTAAATAAATGTATTATTCTTTTGCAGTTAAAAATGTCACTATTAGAATCTTTAAAGACTGTTCAATTATTTTTCCAATTTAGAAAATACATTGAAAACTGGTAGCAATAAATATTAAATTCACAAAAGATGTGTTCTGCATGGAATACATCAGAATGGAAAATTCAAGAAAGTGGCATCATGAATTCCTTGTGGGGGGTGTTTTTGGATCAACTTCTGGGAATATTAAATATTTTCAATCTTATTTACCGTAAATCTTTTTACTAAGTTTTATTTTTAAAGAAAACACAAGATTGTACTAATGCAGTACTTCAATTTGCATTTAAAAATTAATTAGCGAGCACAGTGCTGCTCCTACTGAATTGAAGGCACAAAACAAGCAGTTTTAAAAATGATGACTATAAGAATGAGTACTTTTAATTTATTTCAGTGGATAGGAATGGCTACTTAAATGTAGTCTATCATAAATAAAGTAGAATTTATATCTATTACTCCTAATCGCACCGCATGTATTAAGGCCAAGTATGTTTCCACTCTCATTGCATACAAAAAGATAAAAAATAAAAATATTATAGTTTTTAAAGCTATTTAGTCATCATGTATTTTATTATACCTTCTTCACTGTCACTGAACTGATCAGAATCATCATTTCCATTGTGCTTATTGTTTTCTGTTGATGAAGAAAATGTTGGTGTGGCTATGAAAGAACTTAGCTCTTGGGATGGTTCTTTCAGCTTCAGTAGCTTCTTCTCATACAGCTTTCTTGTCGTAGCTGCAACAGAGCAGGAAAAATTGGTTACATGACTCAGACATTTATGGTCCTCTATGTGCATTTATAAGAACTATTACTACCTCACTTATCAAAATCTGAATATAGTAGCAATATTTTAATAAAGTGTAAAACTGTTAAAACTTGTCTCCTTCAATTTTTATTTTGAAATTTAAAAAGAAATCCCACAGCAGACCTGACAAAACATGAGACAAACTATAAAGGAAACTCTAAGAACTTAAAAAGTAACTGTTATCTTAAACAGAAAGCTATATTGGGAAAGAGAGAGAACATAAAGGTAAAAGGTAGACAACTAAATTCAAAATTAACATAGTAAGGGAGACAAAAATAACCCTATATTACAGAAAGTAGGTTGTTGTTGTTGTTAATTGCGAAGTCGTGTCCAACCCATCGCGACCCCATGGACAACGTTCCTCCACGTCTTCCTGTCCTCTACCATCTTCTGGAGTCCATTTAAGTTCACACCTACTGTTTCAGTGACTCCATCCAGCCATCTCATTCTCTGTCGTCCCCTTCTTCTATTGCCCTCAATCTTTCCCAGCATTAGGCCCTTCTCCAGTGAGTCCTTCCTTCTCATTAGGTGGCCAAAGTATTTGAGTTTCAACTTCAGGATCTGGCCTTCTAAAGAGCAGTCGGGGTTGATCTCTTCTAGGACTGACCGGTTTGAACGCCTTGCAGTCCAAGGGACTCGCAGGAGTCTTCTCCAGCACCATAGTTCAAAGGCCTCAATTCTTTGGCGCTCAGCCTTTCTTATGGTCCAACTTTCACAGCCATACATTGCAACTGGGAAAACCATGGCCTGGACTATACGCACTTTTGTTGGCAGGGTGATGTCTCTGCTTTTTAGAATGCTGTCTAGATTTGCCATAGCTTTCCTCCCCAGGAGCAAGCGTCTTTTAATTTCTTGGCTGCAGTCCCCATCTGAGGTGATCTTTGAGCCCAGAAAAATAAAATCTGTCACTACCTCCATTTCTTCCCCATCTATTTGCCAGGAATTGAGAGGGCCGGATGCCATGATTTTGGTTTTCTTAATGTTGAGTTTCAAGCCTACTTTTGCACTCTCCTTCTTCACCCGCATCAAGAGGCTCTTTAGTTCCTCTTCACTTTCTGCCATTAGAGTGGTATCATCTGCATATCTTAGGTTGTTGATATTTCTCCCGGCAATCTTAATTCCAACTTTTGATTCATCTAGCCCTGCCTTTCTCATGATGTGCTCTGCATATAAGTTAAATAGGCAGGGCGACAGTATACAGCCTTGCCGGACTCCTTTTCCAATTTTGAACCAATCAGTGGTTCCGTGTCCAGTTCTCACTGTTGCTTCTTGACCCGCATATAGGTTTCTCAAGAGACAAATGAGATGGTCTGGTACTCCCATCTCTTTAAGAACTTGCCATAATTTGTTGTGATCCACACAATCAAAGGCTTTTGCATAGTCAATGAAGCAGAAGTAGATGTTTTTCTGGAACTCCCTAGCTTTCTCCATGATCCAGCGTATGTTGGCAATTTGATCTCTAGTTCCTCTGCCTCTTCGAAATCCTGCCTGTACTTCTGGTAGTTCTCGATCCACATACTGCTGGAGTCTAGCTTGTAGGATTTTAAGCATAACTTTACTAGTATGTGAAATGAGTGCAATGGTGCGATAGTTTGAACATTCTTTGGCATTGCCTTTCTTTGGAATTGGAATGTAAACTGACCTTTTCCAATCCTGTGGCCACTGTTGAGTTTTCCAAATTTGCTGGCAAATTGAGTGTAGCACTTTTACTGCATCGTCTTTTAAGATTTTGAATAGCTCAGCTGGAATACTGTCACCTCCACTAGCTTTGTTGTTGCTCAGATTTTCTAAGGCCCATTTCACTTCACATTCTAGGATGTCTGGTTCGAGGTCAGTGACCATCTCATTGTGGTTATCTGGGATGTTAAGCTCATTCTTGTATAGTTCTTCTGTGTAGTTTTGCCATCTCTTCTTAATCTCTTCTGCCTCTGTTAGGTCTCTGCCATTTTGGTCCTTTATCATGCCCATCTTTGCATGAAATGTTCCCTTCATATCTCCAATTTTCTTGAAGAGATCTCTGGTCCTCCCTATTCTGTTGTTTTCTTCTATTTCTTTGCACTGTTCATTTAAGAAGGCATTCTTATCTCTTCTAGCTACTCTCTGGAATTCTGCATTCAATTGGGTGTATCTTTCTCTTTCTCCTTTGCCTTTCGCTTCCCTTCTTTCCTCAGCTATTTGCAAAGCTTCCTCAGACAGCCATTTTGCTTTCTTGCATTTCTTTTTCTTTGGGATGGTTTTAGTTGCTACCTCTTGTACAATGTTGCGAACTTCCATCCATAGTTCTTCAGGTACTCTGTCTATCAGATCTAATTCCTTAAATATATTTGTCACCTCTATTGTATATTCATCAGGAATATGATTTAGTTCATACCTGAGTGGCCTAATGCTTTTCCCTACTTTTTTCAATTTAAGCCTTAATTTTGCAACGAGAAGCTCATGATCTGAGCCACAGTCAGCTCCTGGTCTTGTTTTTACTGACTGTATAGAGCTTCTCCATCTTTGGCTGCAGAGCACATAGTCAATTTGATTTCTATGTTGACCATCAGGTGATGTCCATGTGTAGAGCCGTCTCTTGGGTTGTTAGAAAAGAGTGTTTGTTATGACCATCGTATTCTCTTGACAAAATTCTATTAGCCTGTGCCCTGCTTCATTTTGTACTCCAAGGCCAAACATGCCTGTTATTCCGGTTATCTTTTGGCTTCCTACCTTCGCATTCCAATCCCCCATGATGATAAGGACATCATTTTTTTGGTGTTAATTCTATAAGGTGCTATAGGGCTTCATAGAACTGGTCAATTTCATCCTCTTCAGCACCAATGGTAGGGGCATAGATTTGGACTATTGTGATATTGAAAGGTTTGCCTTGGATTCGAATTGAGATCATTCTGTCATTTTGGGGATTGTATGCCAGTATTGCTTTTCCTATTCTTTTATTGACTATGAAGGCTACTCCATTTCTTCTGAGGGATTCTTGCCCACAGTAGTATACCTGATGGTCATCTGAGTTAAATTCACCCATTCCTGTCCATTTTAGTTCACTGATTCCTAAGATGTCGACGTTCAGTCTTGTCATCTCTTTTTTGTCTACGTCTAGCTTGCCTTGATTCATGGATCTTACATTCCTATAGAGAAAAAAATCTTTACAGCATCGGACTTTCCTTTCACCACCAGATATAACCACAGCTGAGCGTCCTTTCGGCTTTGGCCCAGTCGCTTCATTCTTTCTGGCGCTACTAGTACTAGCTTTCTGCTCTTCCCCAGTAGCATATTGGACACCTTCCGACCTGGGGGGCTCATCTTCCAGCGTCATATCTTTTTGTCTTTTAGTACTGTCCATGGGGTTGTCATGGCAAAGATACTGGAGTGGTTTGCCATTTCCTTCTCCAGTGGATCACATTTTGTCAGAACTCTCTGCTATAACCTGTCCGTCTTGGGTGGCCCTGCACAGGATAGCTTATAGCTTCATTGAGTTACGCAAGCCCCTTCGCCATGACAAAGCAGTAATCCATAAAGGGGACAGAAAGTAGGTAGATATACTCTTATTGAAAACTTTTGAATTTAATTATTTCAATTGCAAAATGGCAGTTTGTATGAAGCAACTTATTTATGACAGAAGGAAGATAGACAGATAACCCAGTTTTTTAAAATGCGTGCTAAAGCTGGTTATTTGTGTTCCGATAGAAAAATAATAATATACAATTCAAATGTGAACTGTAATCTGGGCCATGGCTCCGCAATTGATATCTCCCCACTATGCACACAGTACTTTTCTAGTAAATAGTTTTATAGAAAAATTAGCTCTATATATAACCACTTCCCCTTTCAAAATAAAACCATTATAGGTAATCCTCAACTTATAACCACAATTGAGCCCAAAATTTTGTTAAGCGAATTTTGCCCCATTTTACAAACTTTCTTGCCACAGTTGTAAAGTGAATCATTGCACTTGTTAAGTTAGTAAAGTGAGTCTGGCTTCCCCATTGACTTTGCTTGTCAGAAGATTGCAGAAGGTGATCACATAACCCTGGGACATTACAATTGTCATAAATGAGTCAGTTGTCAAGCATCTGAATTTTGATCACGTGACCATGGGGTTACTGCAGTGGTCAGAAGTGTGAAAAGTGGTCATAAGTTACTTTTTTCAATGTTGTTATAACTTTGAATGGTCACTAAATTAACAGTTGTAACTCAAGGACTACCTATATAAAATCAAATTTATTATAAAAAGTAGTTTAGCCCTCAGAAATATGTATCTATCTACAGTTGCCAGAAAGAAGCACTTTGTACTAAAAATAGCTACATCAAGGCAATTAAATAATTACAAGGAGAAGAGTCATGGTCAAATCTTTTACATAGTAAAAATGAGGTTCTTGACTCTCTGGTCTCAGTAGAGCAGCAGCCCCCAACATTTTGGGCACCAGGGACCAGTTCCATGAAGAGATTTTTCCAAGGGCCAGAGAGGGTGTGGTTTTGCATGCTGTCTGCATCTTGCGGATGGGGTTTCACTTGTTTGTATGGCCTGGTTTCTGGTGCAACCCAGTGTCTGTCCATGCACTTGGGGTTGGGAAGCACTGCAGGAGATGCTGTCGTTATTCTCTGGAGTTAAGACATAAAGGAATTGTGCCCTGTGAGGAACAGCCACAGCTGAAACTACAAAAGGGACTACTTTTGAAAGCATCTAAGGCAGAGGGCCCCAATCTTTTAGACACCAGGGGCCAGTTCTGTGGGGAGAGGTTTTTCCGCAGACCAGAGGAGGCATGGTTTTGTGTGCTGCCTGCATCCCATGGATGGTGCTTTGCTTGTTTGCGCGGCCCAGTTTCTGGCATGCTGCAGCCCGATGCCAATCCACAGACCAGGGGTTGGGGACCTCCGATCTAAGGAGACCAAAAGCTGAAAATGTTCTATACTATTTTAAGGAATGGGACTCTTA